CCACCCTGTCTGAGCTGCCTAGAAGAGACACTCTCTGACCTGATGAGTTGCCTACAAATCCTAACAGTGAGCTCTAGGATTCCAGCTTTCATGAGCCATCACTCATGCTGGCATGGGCTTTCAGGTATGCAGCAGTCTCTGAGTCATGACCGCTCCTGTAAGTGACCTGTCACCCATATACTTGGAAGTAATCCAGATCAACTCATTGGTCCACCAAGTTGGAATCTGGTGGTACCCTGACTTTAGTCTATCATCAGTCCTCTATCTGGGGTAAGTTGAAATTTGTTCACATTTACCCAGGAATAGTGGCATACAACTGACTTTATGCAGCTCCAACTATGCCATGCCTTTATGGTTGGCCCAATGAACCATTACCTTCACATTTCAGAGCTCTGTGAAAAGATTCTGATCAGAGCCTAGGCATGCAGCTCAATGGTAGAGCACTGGCTTCTAAGTCATGTGAAATAAAAAAATAACTGAGAAATATGAGGCCAGTGCAGAATAGACACTTTCAAGTCTGGCATGGTAGCACACACCTGTAATTCCACAATTCTGAAAACATAGGCCAGGAAATCTCTAGTTTGGGAGAAATCATAAGAACATGTCTTTTACAAAATAACTAGATAAATAAAAATAAGTCTATTAACTATCTTAACAAAGTGGCCTTTGACACGAAGCTGCCTTCCCTATCTTTGCTGATGAGTAGGTAGGGCTTAGGAAGACAGAACATATATTTGCTGGGGTTCAATGGCATCCTTTTTTAATTCATTATAGCATCTCATGGAAAAATATCAAAGACATTAACTCTTAATGATCATTTTAAATTACATGTATCTCTTCCATCTTCACGGATTGGAAATTGGAGCACACATCATGTTACTTTGTCATTTATCACTATTCTATTAAGTCTCTTCTCATTCATGATACTTTGTAGGCAAGGGACTATAGATGAAGTTTTCATGTCCTGCAGCTGCTCTCAAATGATCACTGAGAGGCTTAATATTACTTATAAATGCTTGACCAATAGCTTATCCTTGCTACTAACTGGCTTTTACAACTTAACCCATTTCTATTTATCTATGTGCTATCCCCAGGCTTGTGGCTTTTACCTCTAAGCCATTTTGTGTGTCCAACTCATTCTCTGGCTGGCGGGCAACTCCCGACTCTGCCCTTCCTCATCCCATCATTCTCAGTCTGACTTTCCTGCCTAACTGTATCCTGTTCAACTATTGACCAGTCAGTTTATTTAGTAAGCTAATTGTAGCGACACACATTCACACAGTGTAAAGGAAAATACCACACCATTTCTGTCTGACATTTCCTCAGCAAGTCTTAAGCATCAGTGGCATGTAACAATCAAACACTGCAGATCTGAGGATTAAAAAAAACAATGGGGCAAAACACTCTCATTTTCTGACCTTGTTCCCTCCCATGAAGTTCAGAACAAGTTATGACCACCCTTTGATGGGTTTCCTCATCACTACTGTACCACATGGTATGTTTTGTTATGATATGGAATAATTTCTGCTTTTTGTTTTTATCTCTGATGTGGCATATTGCACCAACCATAAATGTCATGTTTGTCAATGATCATGCAAGCTTCCTCTATCTTGTTTCTGATGTTCTATTAACACAGTGTACACCTAATCCCCTCCCCACAAGAGCTAACTATGATAGTATGTTTACTCACAAGATAAGCATTTGATGTTTCCAAGACCGGGTTCCTCTGTGTGGTCCTGGTTGTCCTGGAACTTGTTCTATAGACCCGGTTGGCCTCAAACTCAGAGATCTGCCTGCCTCTGCCTCCATAGTTCTGGGATTAAAGGTGTGGGCAACCATGCTCAACTTCTTCTCTGTATTCTTAGGCATAGATAACCAGTGTTTTACAGATAATGCTTCTAGGATATATCCATGTGCATGTACTTCTTCCATGATTCTGCTTCTGACTCACAGAGAAAATATTCTATTTGTCCCTTTCTCATTTCCCATGTATATGACAAGAGTGGCCTTACTATGTCTAGCTTTAATTTATGCATGTTCATTTAACTCCAGCTAAACTGAACTTCTTGTAAGCAAGGGCCATGATTTTTATTTCTGTCACCCTGTTGATTTGGATGGTGTATGTTTTCTTCTGTAGAGCACTGAGCACTGAAACAAAATTAATTCTGATGGTAATAAAGTATTACTAGTGGATTCCTTCTGAACTAAGTTTAGTTATACATTATTCTGTAATAGCTGAAAACTTAGGAAAAATAGACTAAGGTCTTTGGTGTCTCTTCCTTCATTCAAAAAAAATTAGATAATACCACTTACCTTAGAAGCTGTTATGATGAATAAGTAGGTAATTAATATATAGTCAAATACAGCAAATGGCATACTATAGGAACTTAGCAAATGATGTCACTATGACTCATGCTTGGTACTTCAGATTATGATTCCCATGGATCTACTACTCTGAGAGAGAACCAGTATTTAGAGGTAGGGTCACTCCAATGAAACACTATGACCAAAAGGCAAATTGGGGAGGAAAGGGTTTATTAGGTTTATGCTTCCATATCACTGTTCATCAATGAAGGAAGTCAGACAGGGCAGGAACTTGGAGGCAGGAGCTGATGCAGAGGCCATGGAGGAGTATGGCTTACTGGCTTGCTCCTCAAAACTTGCTCAGCCTGCTTTCTTATAGCACCCAGGACCACCAGCCCTGGGATGGCACCAACCACAATGGGCTGGGCTCTCACAAAAAAAATCACTAAATAAGAAAATGCACTAAAGCAGTGGTTGTCAACCTTCCTAATGCTGTGACCCTTCAATACAGTTCTTCATGTTGTAGTGACCCTCAACCATAAAATTATTTCAGTGCTACTTCATAACTGTAATTTTGCTACTGATATAAATGTAATGTAACTATCTGATATGCAGGATATCTAATATGTGACCCCTGTGAAAGGATCATTCAACCCTCCCCACCACCAAGGGGTTTGACCCACAAGTTGAAAACCTTCACTTTACAGGCTTGCCTATAGCCTGATCTTAAGGAGGTATTTTCTTAATCGAGGTTACCTCATCTCAGATGATTTTAGCTTGTGTCAAATTGACATAAAACTAGCCAGGATACCATGCTAGCATGAGTACCAAAGTTAGATCCCAAGAAGGCATGTAATGAACCTCTTCACTGCTGTTGGATATTCCATTTAATAACATAGAAGATAATACATGTGAGCATAGACTCATTAATCAATTCTCATTGTATAATAACAAAAAGGAACTTGTAGAAGGCAAGGAGGCCTTGTGCACACAGATGAGCAGCAGAGAAGCCAGGAAAGTTAAACACACAGCTCATCTCTTCAGTGGTATGAGGTGTACAAATGCTCTTCCTGGAATGCCAAGGATGTTGTCTTTTTACAACCTAGTGATCCTTTTATATCTGATGAGACTGGTTGTGCTCTACCTTCCAGAAATTTTGTTTTTATTATCTCAGATCCTTTCCTCTTCAAACCTTGAGTATTAATTACTTCTAGACTATAAAGCCCATTCTTATGAGTAATGCTACTTGGGCTTTACAACAGCCCAAGTGACTTCTCTGTTGTCTTAGGGCCAGGCCAGTCCTGACAGTCATTATGTTTACCTCAGTCAAGCTCCTTGGACCCTAAATCTTGGGCACTATCTCTGAATCAACAGTACCTATTCTTGTGAAAGAAGCCAGATGAACTTTGTAGGAATCTCAGTGTAAACATGCCTTAAATTATTGTGCACTTGGGAATGAGCTAATTGTTACCTGTTCGAAATTCCTGTCCCTCTTGGTCCTTAAGCTATTTAGTCCTAAATAAACACACAGAGGTTTATATTAATTATAAACTGTTTGGACAATGGCTCAGGCTTCTTATTGGTTAGCTCTCTCTTAATTATTAGCCCATTTCTATTAATCTATGTATCTCTACGTGGTCTTGGCTTACCAGAGAATGCCCTGTCACTCTACCTTCCTGGAAGCTACATGGTGTCTCTCTAACTCCTGCTTCTCTACACTTCCTCTGCCCAGAATTCTCCTGGTAGTCTGGTAGTCCTATCCATACTTCCTGCCTGGCAACATCCTACCTGTCCATTGGCCGAATTGATTTTATTCATCAACCAATACGAGAAACATAGTCACAGCATACAGAAGGCTGTCTCCCCATCAGTTACCTAAATGCTTTTTCCAAAATTGTGCTGTGCTTAAATATGGCTAAAGTAAAATGATCTGGGTCAGACTCTAGAAGTCCTGGACCAATACTGGTTACAATAAAATCGGGCCAAGCCGAGTTTCATCCTTACCTCACCCTAATTGTTTTTCCCTGTCTGCTGAAAAGCCTGCAGGGGAATCACCACAGGAACTAATGTAAAAAAAAAAAAAAAAACAGCCAAACATGATGGTACATGCTTATAACCCCAGCAGTAGGGAGATGGAGAGTGATGGACCCCTAAGGCTGTGGCCAGCCCACCTAGCCTAATCAGTAACTCAGGTCAACGAGAGCTCCTGGAGTTCAAGGCCAGTCTCTTCTACATAGCAAGTTCCAGAACAGGCTCTAAAGCTACACAGAGAAACCCTGTCTCAAAACAAACACACACACAAACAAACAAAACACAAGGTGGGAGTTGGAGAGATGGCTTAGCGGTTCGGGGCACTGGCTGTTCTTCTAGAGGACCTGGGTTCAACTCCAGCACACATGTGGCAGCTCAAAACAGTCTATAACTTCAGTTCCAGGGGATCTGACACCCTTTTCTGGCCTGCTTGGGCACCAGGCATGCACATGGTGCACAGACATACATGTAGGCAAAACACCCACATACATAAAATAAAGTCTTTTTAAAATTAAAAAGCAACACAAACAAAACAGTGAATGGCACTTGAGGAATGACAACTGAGATTGACCTCAGGCCTGGAAGTATAAACAGACACACACACATGTGCTAATTAAATGTTATTTTATTCAAGTATACATTATGATTTTTTTCAATATTCACAGTGATATTTTACTTTTTATTTATTACATGTTGAAAAAGTTAGGTCAAAATTAAAATGAAGCATGAAAGAGGATGCCAAGAATTCCAACACTCAGGAGGCCAGTCTGGGCTACCTGGCCAACCTTCTTTTGAAGGATAACAAACATAAAATTACAGTCCAGTCCTCAGTCAGTCTTTTGTGCATGAGAAAAACATTATATTTGTGTTTCACAGCTTCCTTTCTGGTGGCTTGGAAATGGCTAAGGCTCCCTTCCATCAGCCTGTCTTCCAGACTTCAAGAGGAGTGTGTAACCTGTAAAACATTAGCAGTAAGATGACTAAATCCCTTCTATTCATCTATTCACTGAAATGTAATCTTGTTCTGTTGATCTATATCCTTAATATTCCCTGTTAAGGATATTTAAAACTGGGGCTGCTGGACGAAATGACAGACTCTGGAGATCCCCCCAAGGAGGGCCTCACCCTCCCTGGGGAATGGTGTGTGGATTGGGTGGGGGCTGGGGAGGCTGGGGGAGGGATAAGAGAGGAGGTGTGGTAGAGGGAGCTGGGATTGACATGTGAAGCATGCATGTTTCTAATTTAAATAAAATATATATTGGGAAAAAACTGGGGATGGAGAGATGGCTCAGCAGTTAAGAGTACTTGCCATTCTGGCAGCTTTTCCAAAGGACCAGGGTTCAATTCCCAGCACCCACATTGACAGTTCCAGGGACTGTGCATTCCCCACAGACATAAGAAAATAAACTAATTAGCTTTTTAAAAGACAAAAATATTTAAAACCCTGCTCAAATGCTTACAGTGGATTTTTAAAAATCACACTCAAAACTCTAGACTGCCCCCACAAACATCACCCCTGGGCTTAGCATCACTATAATCTGTATGTGGCATAAATACCATTGGTTAGGCTCTACACATAGCATTGCATGCACTCTCTTATTTGTATTGTCCTGGCTTGTACATCACATCCATGCTAACTGCCCTTCTAAATACATAAAGTGATATCAAGTCTTAAGAATTGGAATATTTGGAAAATAAGACTACCTGAACAAGGACACCACCAGTACATATGGTGATGGAGAAGAGGAAAATCACAGGGCCCTACCCTTAAACAAAGAATTACAGTCACAAAGGGAAAGTCATGGAGGAGTCCCCTAATTTGTTATCCAATACCAAATGTCAGCCCTGAAATCATGTACATGCAACACTAAACAGACTCAGCAGAATGTACTTATATATATATATATATATATATATATATGCATAACAATTTGATGTGTAAATGTATTTAACAATAATAATTAAAGGATGCAAGGAGTTTGAAAGGAACAAAGGGGATTGCAGGGGAGCAGCTGAAGGAAGGAAATGTAAGTATACTTTCATGTTTCAGATGTAAATAAAAATAATAAAAAAGTACACTTTTTTCATATATTATGTAAAGAGCAAAATGAAATATTTTAACTGTATGCCCATGATGTGACTTTATTTTGGGGGCATAAGGCCATTTACCTCCCCAAGAATATGCACCAAGAAAGGCTGGAATGCAATGTAAGAATCCTCGTAACTATTGTTCTTTGGTACTGGGGTAAAGTGAGGCATCGTATCCAGGAAATGATACTGAGAAATGAGAAAAACCTCATAAAAAGCAGTGATAAAGGATAAGATGCATTGATTTATTCGATATATTTATTGAAGATGATGTTGGCACAGAATACATTTGTCTCATGACCACTTGGAAAAAGTGATTTTTCAGAAACAAAATTTGTTCTTTGGGGAGGGGTTTTATAATCTGGAATTTTTCTCTTTTCCTTCTGTTTAAAACTGTCATGAATGCCTTAGCATTTAGCACTTGAGAGGCAGAGGCAGAAGCAGGAGGATCACTGTGAGTTGGAGGCCTAGTCTATATAGTGAGTTCCAGGCCAGTCAGGGTTACATAATGAAAAATTGCTCTGTAAAAAAAAGAGGGAAGGAAGGAAGAAGGAAGGAAGCAGCTATATCAAATTATTCTATTATAGCACTATCCAATATGTGCATGGTAATACTATACATAAAATAAATGCTTTCAATTTATCAAAAAAAGAAGAGTTGATCTGGGGAAGAAAAGGTCAAAGCCTTTGAAATCACTAATGTCACTTGCTTTGAAATCCAAAGAAAGGTGTTCTGGGTGACATTTGTGTTTTCTAGGTAGACTCTGTAAATACCACAGGCCAGCCTTGACATGCCCATTCTGAGAGTCTGTGCCCCTGAAAGGACCATGCTTGGTCCCTCCCTCCCTCTGATGGACAGTCTCTTCAATGTCTGATTTCGCTACCATGTCATGAAGTAACAAAATTGTTAACCGGCATCAAGATTGTATGAACGGTATGTTAATTCCTCCCAACTCTTTAATCTGGGAATGATGTGAAGAGGCAACTACAGTTGTATATTAGTCCATTCCTGCAGTTGCAGGAAAATTAGTTTTTCATCTCACCAATTTGATGGCTAAAGGTGCAAGATTAGGCAGCCTCATTCTCTCAGGCCCTTGTGAAGCTTGTCATCCTGTAGAGAAACGGAAAAGAAGCCAGGCATTTTGGGTAGCCATGCTGTGTTATGACAATTTACTTTCCAAGAACTACTTTTCCCCAAGAGCCCTGGGGAAAAAACATTCATCCCTTCCCAGGCGATGCCTCCATGGCCTTGTATCAGGCCCTGTCTTCTACGTGTGGTTCAGCATGGGGACCAAGCTTTGGAGGATAAACCTCCTTCCTCTAAATCATATCAGGGTACACACTGGAAGGAATTGAAACCGGAATAATGAAGCAATATGGCACTCCCATCTGCTTGTCACCATTCATAAAAGTCACCACAGAGAAGCAAGCTAAGCATCTGTTCTTGCTCCTCCAAAATTCAGCTTGAAAGGGAGACTAAAGGGACGGCAGTCCTGAGAACACTCCAGGCTATGCTTAGGAAGTGCCTCTGCCCCTCGTTCTTAATGCCCATAGCAATCCTATGACTTGTCACATCTACTACCCATTGTGTAGACAAGCCATTTAAAGGGTGACCTGCTTTAGGTCATGGGCAAGCAAGCCATGGGCCTAGTATTTGAACCCAGATAGTCCAACACCAGGCCCAGCTCTGACCTGGGGCACCAAGCTCCCTCTTGTACAGAATTGTTCCCTCCCACGGCTTCTTTGTCACTGAGCTCCAGGATGCCTCCTAACCATCCTCCTGATTTAAAACACCAGTGGCTTTCCCTGAAGTCTGTCTTTAGAACTATCTGATGTCACCAAGACCCAAAATGACTCATGGCATTTCAACCTCTACATTTTAGGACACCATGTAAATGTTTTATAATCTTAATGTCTTTAAGCATTTTGTTACAGCTTTCTCTTGGTTCTCCCTCACCTGGTTCATTTTTACTACAATATAAAAAGACAGAAGTAATTAGCTGGCTTTTTTTTCTTCTTCTTCAAAGATTTACTTATTTATTACTTATACAATGTTCTGTCTGCATGTCTGCCTGTAGGCCAGAAGAGGGCACCAGATCTCATTACAGATGGTTGTGAGTCACACTATGGTTGCTGGGAACTGAACTCAGGACCTTTGGAAGAGCAGGCAGTGATCTTAACCTCTGAGTGATCTCTCTAGCCCTGTAATTAACTTTTAAAAAATAGAGAAGACGCCCATGGCCAGAGAGTCTGGGAAACAACCTTCATTCAGTGGCTGATGGAAGCAGAGGCAGACTCCCACAGCTAAACACTGACCTGAACTCAAGAAATCCAGTGACAGAGAGGGAGGACTGATTAGCAAAGGGGGTAAGACTGCGCTGGTGTAACCCCCAGAAACAACTGATCTGACAAGGGTTAGCTCTTGAATCTCAGACTGATGTCTGGGAACCCAGCATGGGACTGATCAAGACCCCCTGAATGTGGGTGTCAGTGAGGAGGCCTAGGTAATCTATTGAGCCTTGGGTAGTAGATCGTATTTATCCCATGTATACAAATGGACTTTGGGCTCCCATCCAACAATGAGAGATGCCCTCTCACCCTGGACTCTTGGGGGAGGATCTAGGCCCTGCCCTGAATGAAATGACAGACTATGGACACCCCCATGGAGGGCCTCAGCCTCCCTGGGGAAATGAGGGGATATTGAGGGGGTTGGTAGGAAGTCATGGGAGGAGGGGAGGGAAAGGGAGAGGGACCTGGAATTGACATGTGAAGCAACCTTGTTTCTAATTTAAATTTAAATTTAAAAATAAAATAAAATAAAAAGAAATAAAAAATAGAGAAGACTACTTAACTAGTGATAGATTACATACTCCGCAAATTATGAGCTTCTTTTATAGTGTTATTCATCTGTTTTGTTGTTGTTGTTTGCCTGTTTGATTGGTTTGTTTTGCTTTGAATGTTTTAGACAAACAAATACAAGTTTGTTGTACAAATAAAGTTTCTTTATTATGTAGCCCTGGCTATCCTGGATCTCACTACCCACTATATAGAACAGGCTAGTTTACATAGACCAGGCTGGCTTCAAATACGCAGAGATCCATCTGCCTCCTGCCTCCTGCCTCCAATTGCTGGAATTAAAGGGGTGTGCCACCACAGCCAGCCATGTAGTAACAAAGTTTTTTTTTTAATGGTTTGTAACAAGTGCTGAAGAGATAACTTGACAGTTAAGAGTACTTGATTCTCTTCCAGAGGACCTGAGTTTGGATCCTAGCTCCTGATCAGGAGGCTCACAACTACTCCCAGGGGTTATGACACTCTCTACTGGACTTTATGAGCATCCACAGGCACGTAACAAACACACACACACATACAAATGTACAAACATTTAACTAAAAATAAATCTTTTTTTAAAATGCCTATAACAAAGCATCCGGAAGAAACAAGGACAACAGCCCACAATAGCTTTCTTTATGTATAACTGTAATTAAAGGTTTTAAGCTTAACCCATTGCATTTGCTGTGTATCTATGATGTGTATCTATGACACCTCTTCTTTTTTAAGAAACAGTTAATATTCGCCTCTCGGGATTGTAGGAGCGATGCGGAAAGTAGGGGCAATCAGCCTTGCTCCCTGCACATCTGGGAGGTGCGCACATCTGGGACGTGCAGCGTGCTTCCGGGCTGACACAGGAAAAATAAGGATTGCACAGTGTGTGGTGCGGCTGTCCTAGCGTAGCGGGTTGTTTTGAAGGTGGGAAACTCAGGGCTGTGGGCACCTGCCCCCAGAGAAGTGGCAGGGAGGGGAAGACAGCCCTTCAAGCAGGTGACTCCTGAGCTGAGATGGGGAGGCTGGGCAGGGAGTGAGGGGAGGGAACAGAGAAGTTTTCTGAAACTTACTCTCTCAAGCAGTAAGTATAGAAGAAAAGATGGCAGCCTTTGCTTGCCATGTGGAACCTTATGGAGCACTTAGACCAGTGGCGATTGATGGGAAACTGTCAGCTATGTGTGGTGATAGAATACACTTCTTACGTGGTTTGGGTATTTATACTATGAGCTGGTCTGTAAGTTAGCAAAAACTATCCTAAAGCCTTAGAAGAGTTTTCATTTTCATGCAAGATGACTACATGCTGCTAGAAAAAAAGCAAGACACTTACCATCTCAATATTATAGCCTTCAATAACTTTCTTCCACGTCTTCCGTGAAAATATCCAGTCCCTGATTGGCACATACTGCCACACATAGGTCTTAAACAAGTGAGGCTGCTGCGCGATCCAGACTTCTTTCAAATCATTAGCCATGGAAATCAGTATCAGGCGGGCGCAGCGGCTTGTTTCCATCTTGGAAAGGTCCCCTGCTTTTTTCCCTAAAGTCTAAACGTTTAAGACAAAACAGATGCTGAAAACTTATGAAGCTCCTTTACAGAACGTTATATTAAGAAGGAGCCAAAGGCCGGGTGCCAGCGGGACCCATGCAGTGTGGAGCCTTGCACCCATTCCAAGTGTCTACGGGTGTTAGTAGAAGTCATAACTTCCACGATATTCCCCCATCCCTCATAGGAATCACACACAGACCGGCTAAGATTGTAAACTAATTGAAAGGTCAAAGCTCCCCATTTTCTCCACTACAGTGCCTAATGATGGTTATTACCTAAAAAGGTACATGAAAATCCCAGAAAAATGGAGTCCCACCCATCTGTGGACAGACAGAGGAAGATAAGAGGGATTTTATTACCAACTACAGAGGTATTACACAACAGTGGACTGGGTGACCAACTTAGACCTAATACTGTAGCAATTTCATTAGCCTTATAAAAACTGGATGTCAAACATTGTCAGCTAAATTTATCATGACTCATAACAATTGGGGTTAGGTTATGCGGCTAGTTCATAAGTACTTCTGACAAAGACTCTGACCTATATGAGTCAACACTTTGGGATAAATAATAAAACATTCCAGCTATTTTTCAACCAAAAATATTTACCTCAGTGATTTCTGAAGTAAAAGAATTCTGGAAAATATTGGAGTGTACAAGTCCTGGACAAATGGTAGACATTGTTATACCTGGATAGTTAAAAAGTTCAGTCTGGAGGGTATCTAAAAATCCCTAATAGACAATAAAAGAAAAAGAAAAAGGAAATTAAAAGCAGACATTGGTCTCAATTCATAGTTTCATGATTTGAGGAACTATATTCTAAAGTGCCTGAATAAAGGACAAATAATATACACATAGGCCACGAACCACAAAAAATGGAGTGCCAGAGCCCAGGGGTTCGAAGGAGGCTAGTAGTAGCTTTTGACATCAGTGCTTCTACAGTAGACAAGCATTAAGCAGGAACTAGACTTTTCCCTAAAGACCCCTGTATACCCTCCTCATAACAATCTTCATTTCCCCACTCCAAACATGTATATGTTTACAGAGGATCGCTGGTAGAATAGAAGGGCATCTCTTCATTCCCTGGATAGATTTTAAAAGGTGAGGTTAAAAAAAACAACTGGGGCAAGAGGCAAAAACAAACAACAGGAATGGAACTTTACAGTAACTGCCAAAGATAAATCCAGTTTTCAATCTGCATTACCATTTTAACTGGTGAACTAATTTACACGAAGTATTTCAGCTGATGGCTAACTACTCATAGTTACCATGCGATTGCCTTCTGACTGACTCTAGAAGAAACGAGGCCAGGAATCAACCCACCACTAGTATGCTGCTATATGAACACAGTATCAAATTGTCCTCTAAATTTCTATCCCTAGGGGCTGGAGAGTCAGTTAGTGGTTAAGAGCACTGGCTGCTCTTCCAGAGGATCCCGGTTGGATTCCCAGCAAACACATGGTGCCTCACAACCATCTGTGCCAGTCAGAGGGAGTCTGAAGTCCTCTTTTGACCTCTGCAAGCACCAGGCACACACCTGATCCATACACATACATCCAGGCAAAACACACCAATATACATTTTGGGGTTTTTTGGGGGGAGGTGGTTTTTCGAGACAGGGTTTCATTGTGTAGCCTTGACTGTCCTAGAACTTGCTTTATAGACCAGGCTAGCCTCAGACTCACAGGGATCCGCCTGCCTTTGCCTGCTGAGTGCTGGGACTAAAGGTGTGTGCCACCACCACCCAGCCCAATGTATATTTTTTACATATTGGTACAGCTCTCGTTACCTCATCAGAGAAATTTCTTTGTAAATGGAAAATTGTAGTTGGTGAGTTATTTAAAGATTTAAAGGAAGGAAGGAGAGAAAAAAAGAAAGAAAGAGAGAGAGAGAGAGAGAGAGAGAGAGAGAGAGAGAGAGAGAAAGAAAGAAAGAAAGAAAGAAAGAAAGAAAGAAAGAAAGAAAGAAAGAAAGAAAGAAAGCACAAGAATTCAGGGAGGTTGGGAACCATCACGGAGGAGCTACAGGAAGGAATGGGGATTGCATATGATGAGAATACATTTGTGTTCATGCATGAAATTCTTTTTAAAAATCTTAATAAAAATATTATATTATAAAAAAGAACAGCTAGCTAGACCTCCCAGACTTAAAGATACTAGAGATTGTAAACCAACTGAATAAACAGAAATCTGTCTCTTCATCTGTTTCTAAAGTAGGAAATATTCCCAGACTGCATCGCTTTAACACCAACCAGGCCAGCTAATGAAATGCCTAAATTATTTCTCAAGGTGTTTGGGAAAGCAGATTCTGAAGAACACAGGCAGCAGTTGAGGGCGTTGGATGGCTCAGCTGCGGCCTGGCTTATAGAGTCACATAGAATTGATATGTTTTTCAGCCTCATTGACTTCAACTGCTGTGATGTTGTTGGATTCCAAGTATGTTCCCTGTGACCTTCTGCAGGTGGCCTTGGCATCTCAGGGCCAGCTTCCTTGTGGTTAGCCATGTTTACAGAAGCGAAGCAGAAAAGGTTTCAAGTGGTTGCTGTAGTGTATTTGTTTTCTTAAGTTAGCTTGAGAGTGTCTGCTTTTCAAGGTAACAGGGGAGGAGGCTTTAGCTGAAGCAAGCAGGAGTACAAAGGCGTAAGTCATTCTTCACTCTTCTGAACAGGACCATCTAGCCCGCTCTATCCCTCTCCACCCTAGGTGCATCCACATCTGACTCCGAAACTCTAAAAGGTTTGGTGGCAATAAATGTGACATCATCCCCTCACCACACAGCTCAGGGATGGTGAAGGCTTCTGCAGTCAGAGACTGACACAGGGGTGAACCAAAACAAAACGCCTGTGGAGGTAGGGAAAACGCCTATACTTTTAGCCTCTGCTGGTCTGCAACAGAAGAAAGGGACACCAGTCCACCAGCCCAGGAGCACTGAACCCTCTCTTGGTGTAAAACCACACCAAGGATGGTGTATAAACTCCAGTGATAAATTCACTCTCAAACTTACTGGGAACCGAGAAGGAAACGTGCTTTTTAGAAGTCTACTGACCTCAGTGTTCAACTCCCAAACTACAGCCATAGCTAGCAAGATCTGCAAGCAGCCATGTTTTCAGAAATTTGACTTATATACTTGTGTGTGTGTGCCTGCTTGTGTGCATGCACACGTTTATGTGTGCCTCCACACGCATATGAAGGTCAGAGAGCAGCTTTGGATAGTTGGGTCTCTCCTTCCACCTTGAGTACTGAGGAATTAAACTCAGGTGACCCAAACTTGCCGGGCAAGTGCTTTTATCAGCTGTACCATATTACAGGCCCATCAAATGGTCTCATTTTGCCAGCCTATTAAATCCAATTAAAATAGAGCCTTGGAAAAAGTCGAGGGAGCTCTTTTTCACAAAGGCTATTCTACATGTCTTGTAAGCCTGACTCCCAACAGATGGGTTGTACACTCTCCCACATCTACCTACCTAACATGTGGCTATCTCTAGGGGAGGTTGAATGGCAGCCCTTTTCTAAATCTGAGGAAAGCATCCGAGCAGCAGACCCCGCTGGGTCTGCTCTGTGTGACAGAGAAAGATCCTATTGGTCCACACCTTCAATCTCTATGGAACTACGCTGACTTGAACCACTGCATCCAGCAATTCCAATGGTAATGTATTCCATCAAAACCTACTTTCCAGCCATGTGTGTTGGCCTATGCCTGTAATCCCAGCACTTGGGAGTCGAAGGCAGAAGGAACAGGAGTTCAAGGCCAGCCTCGGATACAAAGAGAGTTTGAGGCTAACGTGCTAAATGAGATCCTGACTCAATAAAAGAAGGGGGGGGGGAATTCACTTTCATTAATTAAATTTTATGTTTCCTTAATCATTGTCTTTAGTTTTACTCTTAAGCCAACATAAGAATTATTCTGTTCTGATATTTATTAGGCTTTTCTCCTAGTCATTTGCTTGATCAAATTTTTCTTCTTTCCACGGCCAGAATGAAAAGAGTCCGTGTTTCCGGAGGAATATGGTACTGGGATCAATCATCTAGTAGTCACGCATCCAGAGTAAGACCAGAGAATAGAGGGTTGACTGGAAGTTAGACTTAACATATAGTAGAGAAAGAGCTCAGACAACATATGCCTGATCGAGCAGAAATAATCTTTCTCCCAGGATTCATCCCAGTGCAGCACCATGCAGACGCACAACAACAATCCATTGAATAAGTAAGTAATAAGCAAGTGCAGTGTTAAGGACTCAGGCATTATGCTGGCTTGTCCCTGTCACCTGGAAGAATGCACTCAGGCAGTACCCTGGTCAGCCCAGAGTTCCATGACTACTAATCTGGACACAGGGGCAAAGGACCCCTTTAAAAGAAAGACACCTCCCCCCACCTCGCTGTTCCCCTGGGACAGACAGGACTTTTCCTGTCTCCCTCTCCTCTTCTGTCTTCTCTCTGTCTCTGTGTATCTTTACCTCTATTCTCTTTCCTTCTCCCTTCCGTCCCCCTTTCTAATAAAACTTCTCGTTTCTCTGTCTGCCTGGCGTGTTTGTCCCCCGCCTCGGTCATGCTCGCCTGCCATGGAATCCACCAAGGTTCTCCATGCCGCATTATTCCTAACATCCAGCTCAAATGTTTTTGGTCATTTGGTGGTGCGGTCCTCTCAAAGGTCTTCTCTCCTTATTCTGCCCCTTAGTGCCACTGACCTCACCCAGTGATGGACAAATCCCTCATGCACATCGTGGTCAATTCTGACAGAGTTGGATTCAAGCAACCTTACCCGAAGAGCATGTTTGCTGGCGTTGTACGCACTGGTAAGTGGTATGGGTATAATTCCCCCAAGGCTGTTAATAATCACGATCTTTCCTTGCCGTCTCTTCATCATGTGAGGTAGAACACACTTGGTCAAGGACACTGTCCCTAAGTAGTTCACCTCTAGCAGCACTTTGAAGACATCCAGGTTGGTATCTACAGCAAAGGAACAATGTGCTTTTCCACCATTGTTGACCAGAATGTCAACCTAGTTAAATAAAATCAGAGAGAGGACTTTTTAGAGATGGGCTTTGAATGGACTGACGGAATTCCTAATGATGAGTGTTATTAATTTGGTGAATCAGTAGAGCAATATTACATTTCTAAAATCAACAATAAAAAGATAAAAATCAAGACAGGTGTAGTGACTCAAGCCTTAAATCCCAGCACCCAGGAGGCAGAGGCTGGCAGAGCTCTGTGAGTTTGAGGTCAGCCTGGTCTACGTGGTGTGTTCCAGGACAATCAGAGCTATATAGTGAGACCCTGTCTTGAAACAAAACAAAACACAAGCAAACAAAAAAAAGAAGATAAAATCAACACAAATCACCTCTTCAGGTTTAAGTAATATTTCACAAAACACAGCAAATTTCATAAATATCACAGCTGTGGTGAATTTTTAGCTCTTTTGCCTACAAGAGGAATTGAGAGTTTAAAAAGAAAGAAAAATGCTAATGACCCAAGTTCAAGACCCAGAGATCAAGAGGTCCAAGTGATAGGCCTCCCCACTAATGCATCCCATGTGCCTCAATCTCTTTGAGTGAGACACCACAGACAAGAATCTCTTAGGCAATTTTAACCAAGCTGGGGAAAGTGATGTAACGCATACTCTATCAGCAAAAACTGCTACTTACTCTACCAAACTCCTGGAGAACGGCTTTCGTAGCCATGCCGTGGGAACTTCTGTCAGCCAGGTCAAGGGGCAAAACCAGTATATCTTTTTCTTTTATATTGCCATTCTCTAGATTAAGACACACCAACACTTTAGTGAGAAGGCCATGCTACAAGTCAACCAAGCTCTTTCCTGCTCTCCAAGTCTATCCCTGAATCTTCCTAAAGGGACTGGATCTAGTGGAACTTGTAAAAAGAACTCAGGCAAAATAAAAGTTATCCTATAGCAAAAAACAAAACAAAACAAAACACCAGCTCATTCATAAGTATAGAGTTAGTTGTGTTTGTTTTGAAATATGCTCACAGAGTGTCATTGCTATTCTTCTGTTTTCTTTGGTCTGGCAACTGAACCCAGAACTTGATACCAGCCAAGAAGCACTTTACCACAGAGTTAAATTCCCACCCCACCCCAACGCTTAGTTGCTCTTTCACACAGTTCCAAAGTCAGTGAGTTACATTCTGATCAAGTAGAAGTTCAGAGCCCATCTGACGAATTATATATAACAGCAGATTTTGTTATTTTGCAGAATTAGAGTTTGAACCTCTGGTCTCACTCATGCTAGGCAAATGTTCTACCACAGAGCTACCTCCCAAGCCTTTAAGGAAGTGATTAATGAAGCACAGAGACTAGACTGCCTGAACAGATGCCAGTGTTCTGTTCCCTTCCCACAAGCCCCACCCAAGGCAGGAGACACATCCTGCATATAAAGTCACTTTAAGGTGAACTGACTGCAGAGCCTATGTAGCATGGGACCAGCTGCCTGCTCACAGATTGCAAAGATTTAAGGGACCATCAGATATTCCTAGTATGAAAAGAGAAGTTCCCACAAGGAAGAAGGCTCTGTTAGAAATCTGCCACATGGCTTGTTATCAGCACCAACCTACTTTTGGACTCTGTCGCTTCCCTGCACCTAGCAGACTAAACTTTAGAGGCCCTAGAAAAGAGATACCCCATACTCCATCCATCTTAGTTAGGGTTTCTATTACTGTGAAAAGATCCCATGACCATGGCAACTCTTAGAAAGGAAAACATTTAATTGGGTGGCTTCCACTTCAGAGGTTCAGTCCATTATTGTGATGGTGCAGATTGGGGCTGGAGGGGTAGCTGACATCTTGCAAGTTCTACATCTTGCACAGGCAACAGGAAGTGGTCTGTCTCACTGGGTGCAGCTTGAGCATATATGAGACCTCAAAGCCCACCTCCACAGTGATACTTCCTCGAACAAGACCACATCTACTTCCACAAGGCCACAGCTCCACTCTCTTTGGGGGCCATTTTCTTTCAAATCACCACACCAACTTTTCCCCTTATGTGTTTGCTTCTCTTTTCAAATCACCATACATTTAGTATTCTTAATATTTTTTCTTTCTTCTTTTGAAGAGTAGGGTATCTATCTTCTTTACTATCTTATGTACATTGGTGTTTCGCCTACATTTATGTCTCTAAAAGGGTGTCAACTGACTTTGAGATGGATTACAGACAGTTGGGAACTGCCATATGGGTGCTGGGAATTGAACCCGAATCCTCTGGAAGAGCAGTCAGTGCTCTTACCCACTAAGCTAACTCTCCAACCCCAATATTTTATTTTTGTAAAAATAAGCACGATTTTTTTCTTTTGGATTCCTCTTCTTACAATTATCTAATTCTGTCATTTATGTACGTTTTTAAGAGTATACCATCATATCTATCAGCAATAGAAAAGCAAGAGACAATAGCAAGGGTGAGAAATGCAGCCAGGAAACTGAAACGCTGACAAAAACTGAGATAAATGTCGAAAATGAATGTCAACTAAGCAAAGAAAAGTCCATGGGCCTATAGGGAGTGGCATTATTAGGAGGTGTGGCCTTGTTGGAGTAGGCATGACTTTGTTGAGGAAGTGCATCACTAGGGGGTGGGACTTGAGGTCTCAGAAGCTCAGGCCAGTTCTCTTCCTGCTGCCTGTGGGAAGCACTGTAGAACTCTCAGCTGCCACTCCAGCATCATGTCTACCTGCATGCCTCTAATGCTTCCTTCCCTGACCACAGCGGACGAAAGCTCTGAAACTGTAAGCCAGGCCCAGCTGAATGTTTCCCCTTATAAGAGCTGCCGTGGTCACGGTGTCTCTTCGCAGCACAGAACACTGACTAAGACAACATATAACTGATAAAGGATCCTTTGACCAGAATTAGAAGAGAAGATCACTACAATCCTATAGGGATGATACTTCACAAAGATAAAACAACTGTAAATACATATGAACTGAATAAAGGGTTACCCAATCTTATATAACAGGACATAGAAGGGAAGCTAGGTCCAGATAGAACAATAGTGGGTGACTTTAGTACCCCACTGTCAACAGGAAAATCATTCAGACCAAAAAAAAAAATCAACAAATAAACTGCAGTTAAACCTCACAATTAATCAAATAAAACTGCTGTGCTTCCGCAGGCTATCCCAGACACTAGCTGTGGAAAGCAGATTCTTAGTGGATGCCCATCATACCTTCTCTAAATAGGGTATAACAGTTTAGACCATTAAGGTAGTCTTGACTAATAACTCAGAAGAACATCTTGTATGTTAACAGAACATAAGGAAAGAAAACTAGAAATGAATAAATAGAGACATAAATAACAAGAGACATGTGTGTGCGTGTGTGCGTGTGCGTGTGTGCCTGTGTGTGTACACATGCTCACGTGTGACATGGAAGTAGATGTGAAGCTGTCTAGGGACAGAAAGTGAACTAACGGGAAAGTGGGGGAGGAGAAATGGCATGGCATGGGGTCACAGGGAATACACTCAACATACAATATGGTTGTATGAAACCTTTCAAAAAAGTAAACCATTTTTTAAAAGCAACAGAAAGGCTATACCTCCTGATCCGCCCTGAAACAAGCTGAGAACTGCCAAAATATGTCCTTTGTTCCACCAGAGCAGGAAGTGCGAGTCACAAGGTATGGCAGATAGATCACCACAAGAACCAGCACCAGACTTGCCACAGGTGCCAGGGCCTTTGACAGCAGAGTTATTAAAGAGGTGTGTGGCCTCCCTGAGCAGTAACAGGACAACAAACTCTCATTGCTGGATAGTTCAATGATTAAAAGAAAAAGAAGCCATCCAAAAATATATTCTGGAGAAAAATTCAAAATTATGTCAATTTAGGTACTAAATGTTCTGTAGGTGATCATCACTTTTTTACTTGAGCCTGCTTTCTGATTGAACATGGTGGTGGTGCTCGCCGTTAATCACAGCACTCCGGAGGCAGAGGCAGGCGGATCCTGGTCTACAGGAGCTAGTTCCAGGCCAGCCTCCAAAGCCACAGAGAAACGCTGTCTAGAAAAAACAAAAGCAAAACAAAGCAACAACAACAACAAAATTCAAAGAGCAAAAATAGCACGGTCGTGCCTTGAGCTGCATTTCAAGCGCCACATTGGCATGTTATGGATAAGAGTCAACCTGTTTTTCCCCTCAAGCAAGTTCTAGGACATTAACTTGATTATGAACCGGCATTAAGAGGATTGGCGATCCTACCTAAGGCTAGAATCTGTGCAAAAATGAGAGTGGAAAGGTGGCAGAAAGGAAGGAAACGCTAAGCAAGGACAGCTGCTTAAGAGGTAACAGAAGAGGAAGCCGGGCAGTGCACAGGAGCCTCTGGAGCCAGCATGCACTGCGCAGGACAGTCCCGCCCTCCCTCACTTCCCGAAGCTGCACTTGAGTTTGGATTCTCACTTCCAGGAAGCACGGCTGTGACTGGGAGTTGACTCACCCAGGCACCTTCTCTTCACCCGCTCCAGCTCCTGCACCCTTCGGGCTGACAGCACCAGGGAGACTCCAAGCTTAGATAACTGGAGAGCCAGCTCCTCACCAATGCCACTGGATGCTCCGGTCACCCACACCACCATGCCAGTCAGCACCTGTTCTGTGGAGGAAGGAGGAAAGTTGTCGGGAATATGGGAAGTGATACTCATATATCAAAGAGAAGCAAACCTTAAATGAATATTTAATAAACTAGCTGGGGAGCAGTGGTACACACCTCTAACCCCAGCACTGGGGAGGCAGAATCAGGGAGATCTCTGTGAGTTCAAGGTCAGCCTGGTCTACATAGTGAGTTCCAGAACAGCCAGGGCTATGTGAAGAAAACCTGTCTCAAAAAACAAAAACAAACAAAACAGAATAAATAAACTTTAAACCATGTCATTAAATATGACAACCTATTATGCAGAACTTAAAATTTCAAATCTCCTACAATGTATTAAAAAGTACAAATACGTTTCTTATCCATCCAATATTTTGTATAGTCAGAATTTTTGGTAAAGTTTTCAGACTTTACTCTAATTCCGATGGTTTCATTAGACTAAGACTCTATCCATGTATTTGATAAAGAAAATTAAAGCTGCTAAGTAGAAACCAATTGCCTGGACTCAATTGTCTTACCCTTTAAATGGGATGACCACATTAAATAATTGGGTTCTATCCAGTTTTCAGTTCTATGATTCCAATTTTTTTTGTATTGTTTTGGAGGCTGTCCTAGAGCTCGCTCTGTAGACCAGGCTGGCTTTGAACTCACAGAGATTCCAAATTTTTTGTGGCAGAGTTTGTTTGTAAGTATCTGAATTTACCAAATTCTGATCAATGGTATATGATCATCCTCCACTTAAAGTAGTATCTTTTTCCTTTGCTAATCATATCTGAGATCTTTCAGGTAATATCATATTATAAACAAGCTCCCCAATGTAGGTGCTGTCATTTTAGGAAGATGTAGTAGTTCATACAAGATGCATTGTATTGTGGGAACACCAGACCTTGAGCAGAGACCCACTTCCCCTTCTGCCTGGGAGTAGGCAGCTGTAAGACAATGTTTAGTAAAAACATGTTTACTAAAAACAATACAATAAGTTCCTGGAAAAGGCCTTCCCATGGAAACCACCCTGACCTCGACCTTGTCCAAAGACTAACCGCACCTTCAAACCCCACACACATCCACCTCTGGTGTCAGAGCAGAACCAGCCAGGGGAGAGGAGAGAGCAGAAGCTTTCTGGAGGGAGCCTTTCTTAGGAAGTTTTCTTGAACCTTTTTTTGGGGCCTGCTTAAAGTTTTCTTTATATCGTTGAACAAGTCTCTGTGTTGTCAATCCCAGACACCCTCCGCACGTTCTCGGACACAGGCCGAGCAGCAGACGTGACAATTGGAGGCCCTACCAAGATCGTGAAAGCGAGGTAAGTGGACAGGGTCATCCCTTTTGCCAGCCAGGGACAGATGGAGGAAAATAGGAAAAGAAACAATGGGAAATAGTCCCTGGAAGTTTAAATTACAGTATCACGTAAAAAAGTTGCTTGAAGAACAGGGGACTACAACCATGGCAGGCTTTTTAAAATGGATTGAACGAGGGAGCCCATGGTTCATTACTGGGAAAGGTTTAAATGTCCCAGATTGGGAGGATGTTTGCTATGATATTCAGAGAGCCGGGTGTTGGTGGCATACGCCTTTAATCCCATCACTCGGGAGGCAGAGATAGGAAGGAATGAGGCCATCCTGGTCTATAGAGCAAGTTCCAGGACAGCCTCCAAAAGGATAGAGAGAAACCCAGTCTCAAAAACAAAAAAAACAAAAACAAAGAAAAAAAAAAGAAATGAAAAAAAAAAGGGTAAAATAAGAAATAAAATAAAAAATCTCCAGTCTTTTGCCTGATCCACTGAGGTCAGGAAAGTAAAGGGGAACTGAGAGATCTGAAAGGCTGGCCAGTAAGGCTATGCGGATGTGTTAAAAAGGGGTACCAAGCTAGGGGTACCGGATTAAATCTCCAGGCCTTCGCCTGACAAAGGTCAGGGAAGTAAGGGGACCCTGAGAGATTGCCCTCAGATGGGGGGTGGATTGGATTAAATCTCCAGGCCTTTGCCTGACACCAAGGTCAGGAAAGAAAGGGGAACCTGAGAGATCACCCTAAGTTAGAGAGTGGATTGGATTAAATCTCCAGGCCTTCGCCTGACACCAAGGTCAGAAAAGTAAGGGGACCCTGAGAGATCGCCCTCAGTTGAGGGGGTGGATTGGATTAAATCTCCAGGCCTTCGCCTGACACCAAGGTCAGGAAAGAAAGGGGAACCTGAGAGATCACCCTCAGTTGGAGGATGGATTAAAAGTGGGTGAATTAAAAATTGGTAACGGTTAATAAAGGAGGTACTGGTATTAAGTAAAAGAAAAAGAAAAAGACAAAGGTATATGGAATGGAAATTTTTGTTTACATTTAAGTTCTATTTTGTGGGTCATCTCTAAAAACTTTTGGCCAAAAGCCTGGCCTCTCCACCTTGCATCTACAGAGTTACAAGGAGTAGGTACAGCTGTACCCCATGACTGTAGCTCAAATGGAGGAATGATAAAGAACATACAGGACTTTTTAACCCTTTTAGTTCAAGGATTAGCTGGAGTTGTTCTTTTACATAGATTTCAATTAAGGGAGCTTCATTGCAACAGACTAATCATGACCTAGGGAAAAAGGATGACTAAAAGATACATGTATGTTCTGAATGTATGGTGTGGCCACACCGGTATGTATGAAATGTGATTGTGAATGCGTGAGTGTGAACTGCTTATATGATTAAAAGGATACTTAAATCCCTTCAAAAATAGTTCAGAAGCTACCTAGATTGCTTTATATATAGCCAAAAGCAACATCCAGCCAGTCTGTTAATGTTTTAACAGAAAAATTTAAGATACAAATGAGGCCTTGTCAGCTATTGAGAGCTCTACAGGTTAGATTGGGAAAGACTGCTCACAGACTTCAAATAATTTTCAAAAGTTATTTGGACACAGTATAGTTTACAATCTTTGAGTGATTTTCAGAAGTTTTTGGGAAATATTTAAAGGGTATGTCCTTTTTAATGGGCATCTACAAATAATCTAAGTAGGGACCCCAATTTACCTAGATAGTTAACCAAGGAGGGTAGACAAATCCTTCTACTGTTATGGTCCAGCTTCAACAGTTCAAAAAAAATTTTTTTAAATATAAAAGGGGGAATAATGTCCCCAGTCCCCACATGACTCATCAAATAATACACTCCTCATTTAAAATTTTTATAATGTGAATGCCAGTGAGCTTCAGACAGATTCTGGCATGATGGAACTTGAGCAACCATTGCTCAGGTCAAATGGAGACATCCATGCACTAGACAGTGGAGAAGACCCTAATTTGGGGTCGAGGGCATGTTTGTGTTTTCTTGCAGGAAAAGAATAAAGCTTTGGCAGCTGTCAGACCATTTAGTGAGATGCATGGAGCAGAGAAAAACTGGACCTGAGACCATGGGAGCCTACCTAAGCCAGTTTGAGTGAGATCTCCTAAATCAGTGTTCCTGACCCTTGATGTCATCGAATCTAGAGCCCAAGAAAGAAAGAAAACAGTCGGTTCGAGATTTCCAGTTTCTCAACAGACCTGCTGCATCAACCTTCCGGGCCCATGAGTTTTCATCATGAAGCCAACAGAGAAAAAAGGACCCATCTAAAGCATTTGGACATTGGTATAGACTATGAGTGGCAAAAGCCTCTTTTCAGTATTTGAACAGGACGTGGTCACTTGAAATATCAGACTTGATGGTTCCTGTTTCTGGAATCACGACTAGGCCAGTGTATTTTTCTGGAGAAATGCAACTTGTCCTAATGCGACAACTATTGTTCATATTTTTCATAATGCTACATGTGTAACATCAATGATTGTGCCCAATGTATCTGTGCAAGTGCACTTTCTAAATGCTTTCCTGAGCAGATCTTGAAACGATTGTAAACTTTATCAAATTGTAAATGTAAATCACATGCGGGTTACCCTTATAACAGAATGTAAATCACGTGCATGTTACCCTTGTAACAGATGAAGGCTGATAGAATGTTATGGCCCAGACCTGGTGATGGGTATGGTGATGGAGAGGCGCTATGTCAATGGGGGTCCTGGAAATGGTGGCAGTGGCGGTAGGCATTCTGGCTTTATGCCGAGCTCAAACGTGCCTTGTTCCAGAGGCAAGAGATCCGTAACCAAGTATTGCTTAGCTTAGCCCATGGCAATCCCGATAGCCATGAAGGTTGGTTATAGATGATTTAAGGTTGGGTTGTCTCCGACGACGGACAACCTGTGGGGAAGACCGCTCCAACCTAAGACAGGGGTTCAAGGTTTCCCAAAGACAGGCAAGGGAGGGTGACCCTACTTGACCTAAGCCAGGAGTGCCTCATTTGAAAATAAAAAGGGGTGAATTGTGGGAACACCAGATCTTGAGCAGAGACCCACTTCCCCTTCTGCCTGGGAGTAGGCAGCTGTAAGACAATGTTTAGTAAAAACATGTTTACTAAAAACGATACAATAAATTCCTGGAAAAGGCCTTCCCACGGAAACCGCCCTGACCTCGACCTTGTCCAAAGACTAACCGCACCTTCAAAACCCACACACATCCACCTCTGGTGTCAGAGCAGAACCAGCCAGGGGAGAGGAGAGAGCAGAAGCTTTCTGGAGGGAGCCTTTCTTAGGAAGTTTTCTTGAACCTTTTTTTGGGGCCTGCTTAAAGTTTTCTTTATATCGTTGAACGAGTCTCTGTGTTGTCAATCCCAGACACCCTCCGCACGTTCTCGGACACAGGCCGAGCAGCAGACGTGACATTGTATAGGGCAGAAATGTGAATTATGTTCCTCCAGCCTCTCTGTCCCCATCAAGACACCCAAATGATACAGTGACCACACAAAAGGCAGGAGGTGAGTATTGGGGAAGAGGATCGCCAGGTTCCTTCTGAAACTTAGACCAGAGTTGTAATGATGTGTGAGTAAGGCCTTCGTGTCTGGCTTTGAGGGACATCTATAGTAGAGCCTTTGTGTCTGGCTTTGAGGGACATCTATAGTAGAGCCTTTGTGTCTGGCTTTGAGGGAAATCTATAGTAGAGCCTTCGTGTCTGGCTTTGAGGGAAATCTATAGTAGAGTCTTTGTGTCTAGCTTTGAGGGAAATGCTTAAGCAAAGCCTTTGCTATATTTCGGTTAATCAGTAGAGGTTGAGAAATTGTTTGGAGACTGTTTAAACCTTGGAGAAATGTTGTTTCTCTGAGACTCTGCACTTTGTGCTACTTGAGAACATACAGCTGCATCGACCTTGAGACACTCCTGGCAGACCTGGAATTCTCCCTTTTGATTTTTTCCTTGCCTTAATTTTGCGTGGGTTATGTGCTCTAATGGGCAGAAGAGCAAGGTGACTTTGGTCATTGGACCCTTTCCCAGCCCCAATTAACCTTGTGTATATTTCAAAAATTAACTGGAGTGAGCAGGCCGGGTGTCAGTGTTTTCCAGGAAGGCTGTACCCCTCTGCTCCTTAGGAAAATGGCGGCTTAGCATCTTGGTGAGCTCTCTACTGCTGTGCCTGCAATGCAACATCAACAATGCATAGTGGTGTGAAATTCCTGTCTTTAAAAAAGTCAGAGTTGTTAGAGGAGTGATGAGCAAAGGGGTCAAGACCATGATGGTGAAGCCCACAAAGACAACTGACTGGATAAGGGGGAGCTCTTGAACCCCAGACTGATGGCTGAGAGGCCAACAGGGGACTGATCCAGACTCCATAAATGTAGTGTCAGTGAGGAGACCACAGAAATCACTGGGGCCTCGAGTACTAGATCAGTGTTTACCATAGTGTATGAATGGCTTTGGGAGCCAATTCCCAATAGAGAGATGCTATCTCAGCCTGGACACATGGGGAAGGGCCTAGGTCCTGCCCTAGATGAAATGACAGACTCTGGAGATCCCCCCCAAGGAGGGCCTCATCCTCCCTGGGGAATGATGTGGGGATTGGGTGGGGGGCTGGAGGGCTGGTGGAGGGACAAGGGAGGAGGGGTGGGATTGACATGTGAAGCATTCATGTTTCTAATTTAAATAAAAACATATATTGAGGGGGAAAAGAAAGTCAGAGTTGTGAGGGCAATGGTTGCCACTCAGCTAGTGGAATTCTTGTCTAACATTGTATTAGTTCCTGGTGTCAATCCCCAGCCCTTTATAAACTAGCAAAGGTGGCACACACCTACAATCCAACACTCCAGGTTAAGGCAGGAGGTTCAGAAACAAAAAGATTATCCTCCTTAGATACACAGCAAATTTGAGGTTAAGCTGAGCTACATGAGATCCTGGCTTAAAAAAAATAAAATAAAATGAACAAACAAACCTCTCCACAGGGCTCAGGGACCATCAAGGAAGACAGAAAGCTTACAAGAAATAAGTTAAGGAGGACCCGAACAGAAACTGTCTCCTAAGTGCAACAGGACCTCTGCAATCATGAACTGGCAGTTGCTGAGGTTAACTCCATAACTGGAATATCAACTTTAAAGCAAGGACAGGGGAAGGGGCTCATGTGCCTCCACCCTAAGATGCTATTGACAGCTAATGGCTTCTGTCAATCAGGCTTATGTGAGTGGCCCCACACTCATGAGTATATGGGAAGCACAAATTGGCCTCAATGAGTTGGGGCGGGGTTGGGATGGGTAGAGCACAAAAGAAGGCAAAGAAAAAGAATATCAAGTTGGGGGAGGATGGGATAGATCTGGGAAAAGCTATAGGGATAGAAGATGGAGATGATAAAATTGTATACATTGCATGCACAGAATTCCCAAAGAATTAATAAAAGTAAGTATTAAAAAAAAACAAACCAAAAACTAGGGAATTTGACCAAAACCAGCAAACAAAGTATCACATATTCAGATTCTGATTTGGGTTTAGAGGTGCTAAAAATCTGGAATCTAGTGCGCTGTTTCAAACTGGCTCACTAAAGGGTTTTAATGAATTCCGGAGCCTGCTAAAGCTCAACACCCAGCTGCATCACAGGGCACAGCAGTTTTCATCTCCGGGTGTGCTCAGAGTCTCTAGTTCTCATAGCCTCGGAGCAAATAATTAATCATTCCTCACAGGAGCGCCGGGGACATGAATCAAAACTGCAAAACTCCCAGGGCATTAAACTTGCGCTGAAGAAATGCCAACTGCATTCATCACTGAAAACAAACCTTAAATTTTACCCTGTGAGAGTCAGGTTGGGGATCCAGAAACTCTTTCCAGAGGTTTCAGAAGAGGCAGAAATGAAGGCTGTCACTAGAGGGAGTGACCGAGAGGCTGGGGACTAGAGCAGGCAGTGTTGAACTTTCTACTGTTTATCCTTTTGTCTTCTAGAATTTTGTGTTTTTGTCTTTATTAATTTTTAAGGAGATAAAATATAATCTACAGAGAGGAAGTTTTTTCCCCCCTTTTAAAGTCTTCCTAAAGCATGTTCATATCCCAGTGTGCTGCTTTAGGAATCTGTCTCTAGCTCTGTGTTCTTTTGCATTATTTCCTTTGCTTTCCATCCCACTCCGAGTTTCTTGAGACATTTTTTCCCCCTAAAACTGTCCCCTATGAAATTTTAATTCCACAAATACATGATATATTTACCTATGTCCTTCTGTAAATAGAACTGTGCTTTCATATATATATATATAAATGAATATACATACATATATATATGAAGTTTGATTAAACTTCTCTCGTCAATGAAGGTTTAAGAATGAATAATCTTCAAGATTGAGTTAAATCTTAAAAACTATTGGCATTTTATGACTTGTTTTAAAATTACTTGTGGCAATATATCTAATTAAACTAATGTCATATAATTCATTCTTACTGATCTTTTAACCTAATCAACAATTTTTCTTTTGATGAGTTGAATGACTTTTGCAGAATTACATAATAAAAATACTGATTTGGTTTCATTCTTCAAGTCCCAGTTTACACAGAACCACCCAACATGAAACACCCATGAGCCTTTCTCAGTCAAAGTTATTAATCGAACTGATCAATAGAAGTTTCTATTATCAAACAAAAAAAGTGATGTTAGATGTTTTCATTTGAAAGAGAAAGTCCACCTAGCACTGCCATCTGCTCCCCCTAAGCGTTTCTGTGCACTGGCTGCCAACTCTGCACAAGGCATGCCTTCCCCCCACCCCCGAAAAAATGAAACATCGAGTAGTAAGATTTTGGCCTGTTGGGGGTGAGTTTTGCAGGGAGGCAGGAAGACAAAAATATATTCTCAGTCGTGTTGTATCTACCCCGCCCCTCCCCCCACACTCCAGGCAATTTTCATCCACTTAGCATAGAAAACATTGTCTTCTGAGCTATCACTTCCAAACGAATGTCTCAGCATACTTTGGGTACTGTCGTAAGAGTCTAGGAAAATCCGAGTGAATTCTTAGGATCCGAAGTCTACCTGTGAGCATGCCATTTCATTCACTGGAATGTGATTCCCAAGTTTGCCAAGCAATAGCTGCTTTCTAGAGTTGTTCTGAACTGAGTGGAGCGCAGGGGTTGTGAAGCGCTGAGCACTCTGTCTACAGAGCACACAGCATGTGTTTAGTCATCCAATATAGATGTTTAGCCCACAGGTATAGTCCCCTCGAATGTGAAGCAACTCAGGGATCAAAAGGCGACAGGCAGAATCTCCACTAATGGGCAAACATCACGTTACTTCAGAAAAAAAAAAAAACTTCCTGGGTCCTTTATAGTGAGCTGAGGCTCAAAACTGCGCAGAGTGACAAGCCTAGGATAAACACCTTTGGAATAAAGAGGCCCTGAGCCTTTGTCCAAGGAGGCACCTTAGCAAGGCAGAGTGTTCGATGCTGTCCACAGTGTCTGACACTGCTTTGGATCTCTGGGATTCCGGTTAAGCAAGGTCTTAAAGATGTTCTCTCTAGGCAGCAGTTTGGCAACCTCCAGAGTGGTTTCCCAGCCTGGAAGGCGAAAAGTTTTCCATCTTTAGGTCAGGACAAGCTATAAGAATGCCAAATTGCTCTCTTTGCTCAGTCTCTTCCTCCCTGACCCTCAACCCTGGGCAAGGCTCAGGCTGGCATCACTGAGGCTTCAACAACCAGAGGTGGGTGGCCCGGGATGACCCAGACCCAGCAGAGATCAGGTCTCCCACTTTGAAGCTGGAGATCACAGAAGGTCCTCACCTGGACGCCGACCCAGCCATGCAGCCCACAGCAGCGTCAGGTCAGAATCGGTGCGCAAGAAGCTCAGCAGCCACAGGGCTGGCAGCAGGGCGCACAATGCCCACAGCCAGAGCTCACCGCTCATCGCAGCCAGTGGAAGGCAACTCTGGGGACAGCTGGCTGCAGGCAGAGTCTAAGTATATGGCCTGGCTTCTGGCTCCGCCCAAAGGGCAGGGCAGGCGGACGGGAGGGGTGAGTGTCCCAGGCGCGCCAGGTGCACACTACGGGCTCCATCCTGGACTGCACCGGCACGGTCCTGAACTGCACCGCCTAGGGATCTAGGAATGAGGGATGCTGGCTCCGAGCAAACAGAGACACTGACTAGATGTCTGATGAAATGTTGCAATGAGAACAAAACACGTGAATGACTCAAGTACTTGAGGATTCTATCACTGGCTCGGTGATAAACAGATTGTCGACATCAAGAAGAGGTCATTTTGAGTTATTTTGCAGGTGAGTTCAAGGCTTTGTCTATACTTTGGTGGAAGACAAATGTCCAAATCTAGAGACTCAGAGCCCTCCTGTCTCCTCATTCCCCTGCCCTAGCAGGAGATGGAACCCGGGGTTTTGTCAGTGCTGGGTAGGTGCCCCTGTGCTCCCGGCAGCCCCCATCCCATCGGAGACTTTTTATTTTCTAGATGAATCGAACAAAACATTCGTTATTTAGGGAAATGAGTACATTGCTAGTAGACATTTTTTTCTAAAGGATCTTAAAAATAGGTGTCTTCTATATACAGTGTGGTCATTGCACCCACGAAGTCACTGCAGCTCTGACTAGTACAGTAAGAGCTGTAGACGGTCAACTCAACAGGACAGTCAGCATTCCAGAAGGCAGTGGGTTATAAAAAATTTCAACCAACCAACCCCCAGAATGCGGAAGGGAGACTGACTACCCCCATGTTGAAGATACGTGGAAGGAGGGAGTTGGGTTGGGGTATGATCGAGATATGATCTTTCAAAGCCAATGTCATTTCCCCCACTAGAGCCCAGGGTACAATTGACGGTGAGGTGTAGAATGATGCTGGTCCTAGTTGACTGTAGTGCTAGCTATTCGGTTATTGGTAACTAATTAGCTCAACAAAGAAAAGGAAACGGCAACCTGCCTGTTACAGAAGGAAGTACTACAGGAGTCTTTCCTTCAACTGGCAGAGCGACAGACAGGTCAGAGCCGTGAGAATGAAACTCAAATTTCTCTGCGGTCTGGAATGTCTAAACCCACTGTTAGGTCAAGACTTGTTATGCAAATTAAGCGCTTAAACGATTTCCTCCCTCTTAGATTAGCACCAAACCCTGTGGAGCCTTTTTACCTTGGGGCCAGAGACTACAGTGTTCCTAAGTCACTGAAAGGTAAGGCAGAGTCTGACAGACAGAGACCACCAGTATTAAAACCTAGGAGAACAGGTGATTTGTCCCTGGTGGCAAGGTGTCTGCTTTAGGTGTCAAGGTACTTTAATAATGGCACAAGTGTTTTTGCGCTGATGTAGAATGCCAAGGGCCTTGTAGTGAATTGCTTATGCCCTTTGGCTCTTAAAGAGAGAACCTTTGGACTGTTTAAAGAAAAACAAAAGCATACCCAAGATGTACTGATAATTACATAATAGAGCTGTAGTACACCAAAAATGCAGCATTTAAAAAGAGTCAAAATGATGGACTAAAGGAAAATAATGCGAGTTTCTAACTACGGGGTGTGTAGTGTAGCTACCGTGCCTAAAGAAACGCGACGGAACACACCAAGTCACCAAGAAAACTTAGGCTGGCAATACATTACGAGTGGAACTCTGCCCGGCTGAAGTGATGCTTTCTGTGTGTGTTCGAAGAGACTTGTAGTGAGGATAGCGACCCTCCCTCAGAGATGGGTTACTTTCTGACTTTGCCAAGTCAGGCATCAGACCAGAATGTCAAGTAAGGGCTCCGATTGAGGCAGATAACAATTTCTGTAACACTGAATGCATGAGAGAAACCTTTCCCCATTGACTAATCAGGCTGTAATCTTACATTCCATTCAGGTCTTGTCTTTCCCTCTGTTGTTTACTTCACCCCTCCCCCACTCTCCACCAATAAAAACGGTGTGTGGGTCCAAATGCTTAGTCTAATATATGACCTGGCAGGCAAGTGTTGGGGTTAATAAGTTTTTACTCTAAACGTCTAGTTCGGGTGGAAGGGGTAATTTATTAGTTGGGGGGGGGGCATTGCTAGAGTGTCAGACTCCAGTAGCAGCGCAGGGTTATCTGTCTGACATTAAAAGGACACCAGGCACTTTTGAAAACAGACTTTATTTCTTAGCCGTTTGGGGTTTTTCTGTTTGTTTTTGCTTGTTCGCTGGAGGTAAGGGGCTTAAGCTGTGTTAGAACGCATCTGAGAATCTTCAGAATGGGGTTGAGGCTCTAAGGACTCCGAAGGGACAGATGCGATTCCAGAAGGTAACTGAATTTCAGCCTAGGCAGGGTAGACCTCTTTCCTGAGGACATGCCTGTGAATAACAGAAGGTATCCACGGCAAGGAGGTGTGTGCTAGCCTTTTTCTTTAGTCTGTCCTTTGTTGAGGAAGGCCAGTGGCTTAGTTTTACTTCCTGGATTATGATAGCAATAAAATAATAGGCTCGGGATTTCTTTTTTAATTGTGGACTTTACCTATCTCTGAAAAACAAATGGGCATGTGTGTTAGAAAGACACCAGTATCTAGAGCAGTTCATGTCTGTTTTTTAAGGTACCCTGAAGACGCCTACTAATTTCTTAGCCAGGTGTGGTGGCACTCACCTTTAACCCCAGTACTTGGGAGGCAGAGGCAGGTGGATCTGTGTGAATTTGAGGCCAGCCTGGTCTCCACAGCAAGTTCCAAGATTACAAAGAGAGACCTTGCTGTCTCCCCTACTCCACATAAACAAAAATATGTGTTATGTGTTTAAGACAAATAAGTCTTATTGAATTTATTTGTGGTATCCTTGCTAAGTAGCCCATTTCTGCTTTGTTTCTGTATAAGATATAACACCTAATTGGGAGGCTTAGTGGGAGAATAGGAGCTACACAGACCCCCAACAGACAGGCAGATAGGAAGGGGGGCTATATAATAATAAAGACAATTGATAAAGATGACAAACTTCCAGCGTCTCCCTCATCTTCCTAACTGGGACAAAGACCTGCTGAACCCTTTTCTCCACCAGCAGGACGGTCCCACCCCCTTCCCTTCTATCCCACCAAGAAAGATACTTTCAAGGTCAGGCCTGAACTGGTTTATCTGAAGCTGTGGGGCTATCAGCTACCAACATCCCACACTCCACCCCACTGTTTCTTTGGGGTTCTGTTTTGTTTTGTCTAAACTGATCACTCTGAAATAAAAGGATGGAAACATATCCTAAGCTACTAAAACCATTTAAAACTCCCAGCTGTCCAGGGGTAAAATGGACTTTGATTTCCATACCCTCTTCAGGTTTCCAGGTTCTTAACCACAGGCAATCAAAGCAAATAAAGACTCAGGAGAGGTGAAAACAAGTATTTATTTAAGCTGAGGCAAAGGACGGGAAGATTCCTATCTGGGAGGACAGCGCTCCAAGGCTGGCAGTGTCAGTGGACTCTGGATTAATCTTTTATAGAAGCCCCAAAGCCCTCCTGTCCTTTGATTCCCCTCCCCCCATATTCTGTCTCTGGCCCAAATAAATTGATCATCTTCCCATTGCTGCAGTCTTTTATGTGTTAATCCCAGGAACCCTCTCACCAAGTTTCCTAGTCTCCATCTTCAATTTTTCCCCAAGTATGGCGGTTTGAATAGAAATGGCCCCTGTACACTGTGTTCAAACAAATGCTTGGTCACCAAGGAGTGGCACCAGTAGGAGGTGTGGCCTTATTGGAGTAGGTGTGGCCTTGTTGGAGGAAGTGTGTCACCGGGGGTTTCAAACACTTAAGCCAGGCCTAGTGGCTCACTCTTCCTGCTGCCTTCCAATGCAGATGTAGAACTCTTAGCTGTTTGCCAGCACTGTGTCTGCCTATGCACTGCCATGCATCCTGCCATGATGACAATGGACTAAACCTCTGAACTGTAAGCCAGCCCCAGTTAAATGCTCTCCTTTGTAAGAATTGCCATGGTCATGGTGTCTCTTCACAGCAATAGAAACCATAAGACATTAAATGTTTCTGTCCAACATATCTCTTAAGGGAGTAGAAGGACGATTGTACTGGCATCAAAGAGGAAGGATCCTCAGTTGAGGAAATGCCTCCATGAGATCTAGTTATACGCATTTTTCTCAATTAGTGATCTGTAATGTGTAGTCTTCCTGCCAGCCGCCTGGGTCCCATCTCCGCTTTAGCCCCCAAATAACACATAAGACAACACATTGGCCATTTGCTATGGTTTCTTAATGGCTAGCTCTGCCTTAATTATTAACCCATAATTACTAATATATATTTCTATAAGGACTTATTTTACCGAGGATGCAGCCTCATATGATCGCATGGCAACGACTCTCCTCACTACATATCCCAGAATCCTCCTAGATGCCTAGTCCCACCTATCTTGGTTCTCTATTGGCCAACAGTGCTTAATTTACATATACACAGAAGGACTTCCCCCATCAGTGATCAGTGGGGAAGGGCTCAACCCATGGTGGGTGGCACCATCCCTGGGCTGGTGGTCTTGGGTTCTATAAGAAAGCAGGCTGAGAAAGTCAAGGGAGCAAGTCAGTAAGCAGCTCCCCTCCATGACCTCTGCATCAATTTCTGCCTTCATGTTCCTGCTCTGCTTGAGTTCCCGTCCTGACTTCCTCCAGTGATGGACTCTGACCTGGAAGTGTAAACTGAATAAACCCTTTCTTCCCCAGCTTGCTTTGTGTTCATGGTGTTTCGTCACAGCAATAGAAACCTAACTAAGACAGTAGAGCTTTCCCAACTGCTTCTTTGCAGACAACGAGTAACTGGGAGATGCTCTCCCTATTTTACATAGTGGTTGGAGAGGCTTCAGATTTCCAGTCATAGGAGTTGGCTGGAATGCCTGTGTCAAAGTCTGAAATTGTTACATATCCTAGAAAACACAAATGTCTCAAGATTAAAATACAAGATTTGATTAAATAATAGATGATTATGCCCATGGATCTCAGAAAGAGGGAGTGACAGGAGAGCATGACTATGTT